AATCTAACACATCCCTCCGAGGAGTATTTGTACTTTATAATTTGGAGTTAATAAGGTGAGCATTTGTATTTTATAGTTTGGAGTTAATAAGGTGATTTTAATTTATGAACTTAATTAATTATAAATATTAAATTAAAATGAAACTCTATATAATTTTAAAACTCACAACTAAGATTGAATTAGATCGTTGGTTAAATTTTTGGCTCGAAAATGAGATGACTTTTGCGTGAGAGTAACGGTCAGGATCAATAATCGACATGCAAGAACAGTACGCCTTAGCACGCAGCCAATCCCACCCCTCGGATATGCCTATACCAGTTTCATATCCATCCTCTGCCTTTTTTAAATCTCAAGCACAGCTCACTCAGCTCTTGATCCTCCAATTCTTCCCAAATCTTACCTTCCTCACAAGAAATCACTAAAAAATTATTTGGAAAAAAATATCCGGAAAATATATTTTCAAATCAAACCTTCAAACATGGGTTCTTCTCAATTCCTTCTCTCTCTATCTCTTTCCATGAATGTCTCTTCACATTTTCTTCATTAGATTTCTTGGGTTTCTCGGAATTCTGGGATTTTCTCTGTTTCTCTTCTCAATCTCAATGGAAGTTGATCAAGAGGTACAAGTGAGTGAATCAGAACAGGTCAATACACATGTTTATTCGGTGTGGGCGCTTCCACCGGAGGACCTAAGGCCGAGACTGAAGAAGTTGATGGAGGGTCTCAGATCGGAGTTCGGAGGGCCGGAGTTCGAGCCTCACGTGACCGTCGTCGGAGCGATTAGTTTGACGGAGGGGGATGCACGTGACAAGTTTAGGAAGGCGTGCGAGGGATTGAAGGCTTATTCAGCTACTGTGGAGAGAGTGGCGACTGGGACTTTCTTTTATCAGTGTGTTTTTCTTTTACTGGATCCAACGGCCGAGGTAATTTTCTGGGGGTGGATTTTGCAATTTACTATCTTTTAATTTGGAGATATAATTTAATTTAATTTTTTTTTTTGTCTATCAAGGATTTTCTTTATATGTTTTAGCTTTTAACTATGGTACACGAATACGATACTAAATTGACATTATACAAAATGGGAAAAAATCTGGCAAATTAACAAGAATAATTAGTGTTAGAATCGATTAACTTATTTAGATGGTATTTTAAGAAGAAAATCAAAATTTTTTATTTTTTTATTGATTAATCATGAATTTTTTTAGCATTAAATAGTTGGTTATTAAAACGATCCGAAATTAGGGGTGCAACTCGGACGGGTTGGATAGTCAATCATAGCCCAACCCTAGGTATATAATCTTCAACCCTAATCCTAACTCTAACCCTAACTCTAATCCTACCTCGGGTTGAAGAACTCAACCCGAATACTTACCGAGTTTAATTTGGACGGGCTCGGGTTGAATTCGGGTTAATGATTTCGAGCTAATTTCGGATTACTTTACAGGTTCAATTCGGGTTGAGTTCGGGTAGAGCCCAAAATATGCTTGTTGTTCTAAACCTAATACATATATTACATAATATTTACCTAAATTAACAACCAATAACTTTAACAAAGTTTTAACAGTGCTAATGCTAGAAAAAAAATGAAAATGAACAAGAGAAACAGAAAACGATAGAACAAAAATGAAACATTAGTGCTAATGCTTTATATATATATATATATAATTTTTTTTAAAATTGTCGGGTTCGGGTTAAAATCGGGTTAGGATTTTCTAACCCAAGCCCAACCCAAATTAAATTTGGGTTGGGGTTTTCTGACCCAAGTATTAAAAACCCTTGCCCAAGTCCTAATTTTTTCGGGTTGGGCTCGGGTTGAAATCGGGTTGCCCAACCCAAGTTGCACCCCTATCCGAAATGATACCATTCTAAGTATGAGAATATAAATTAAAACCCTTCGCATGATTCAGTGGTTTGGTTGAGGTTGATCTTTATAATAACTCAAAGGTCTGAGATTGGTCTTTGTAACTCAAAGGTTTTAATTTCTTCACACACTCCAAAAGGGCCGGTCACCCTTGTTTGTTCTCCATGGACCTGCTATAACCAAGCTCAAGCAACGCCTGTTTATCTTGAGAAAGTAGTCGGTATAAATTCGGACACCCTGAAACCAAAAACAAAAAAAGTACGATAATTTGAAATAACATGACACATAATTAACACGATATGTCACGATTGACACTCGAATTGTTGGCCCTCAATGTCTGAATCTTTTTCTGCTTTGTCATTCATGGAGGTTTCTTTTACACAAATGGTATAAACTGGTGATGTGCAATTTTATTTTTTCAGGTGGTAGAGACCAGTGCACACTGCAGCAGTCATTTTGGTTACAAGAACTCCTCACGTAAGTTTAGACCCTATTTCTCTAGTTGTTTGATCTTCTATGACTTTAATCTTTTGCCACTTTTGAAGATTGATTGAAATTATTTACCTAGTTTTTTATATAACACCAACCAAAACCCAAAAAAAAAAAAGAAAAAGCTTAATTTTTTTAGGATGTTCTATTGCTGTCAGATATCCTTGTGGTTCTAGGTAAATGTAAATTTAAAGTCAGTAATTGTTGTGTAAAATCTAAAGACCGATTCTTTTTACATGGTTAATGGCAAAAGAGCTGGAGCCAGAACTGGTAAACTGAGGAAGAGATTATATTTGGTTTATTTACCCCAAAAGTGTATGTGTATGTCTGCACATAAGTGGCTATGCATGAGTACTCAGTATCTCCCGAGCAAGAACGAGAAATAGGCGATGGGATGACGCCTCAGCAAAACTTTGTTTAAAATTTGTTTGCTGCTTTGAAAATGGGTTGCTATTTTGTTCCTTGAAACTAATGGGTGTTGGTGGTACTTCTCACTGTTGCATTCAAGAATTAGCAATCGTTTGGCTGAACACTGAAGGAATGATTTCATTGAAAAGGTTCAATTGGGTACATATCATGAGTTAAACAGGGTAGTTTATGGTGGCAAGTGGCAACATGGTTTGTAGTATATACAGACCAAAGTTCGAAAGAATATAAAAAATCGGAGGAAGAATGATGATTTTTGGGGAAACTTTGTGGTCTATATTTTATTCAAGTTTCTTAAACTTGAGAAGTAGTGTATGATCCAAGTGATGTGGACCAAAGGTTGCTCTGATACCGATCTGATGTAGACTGGGAAGGGAATTAGGGAAGGGACATAGATGAAGAAGGGGAAGAGAAGAAGAGAATAGGATAACCAAATGTCAAATGGGTCCCCTAGAGTAAAATGACAAATAAGTCCTAGACTCTACACATACATCCACTATAATGGAAGACAATATGATTCTCATCACTAAGACGTTCGGGAATCTACACCAGATTGACATATTTTTTGGAGGAAATGGTAAACAGAAGCTACCCTTATGATGATCAGAACTTGGGACGATTTCTAATGGAAAACACAAAGTCTGAAAGGAACCATGCAGGGAGATGATAAACCTGCAATCTAAATAAGTTATCCATTAACACCAACATAGACTGTAGGCCTAATGTTGCTCTCCTGATTTTCTCCTTTGAGCAGGGACAAAGACACAAGGTGTGGCCACCTATGCTCCAGAATAGTGCCTTATTTTTGTATATGTTTTGGAGTGAATTCTATTAAAACAAATTGGTGCCCCCCTCCCTCTCCTCCCACCCACTGCCACCCCTCTGGCCAAAATCAATATACATGCCAATGCATAACAACCAATTAAACTAAAACAAATAATCATTTCAATCATATAAAATCTCAAGTTTTTTTGAAATATTAGTATTGACTAGTGATGAGTTTTTAGAAATTAAGAAAGAAAGAAAAAAAAAACTGGTATTCAATTGATACCTTATGGATATCCAATCAACTTGTTATTAGTTTTTATAAGGACTTTGGGAATTCTATTGATACCTTTAAGATTGCCAATCAGCTTTCTTTCTGCAATTGGAGAAACACTCATTAGTCAGTCAATTAAGGGGGGAGAGAGAGAGAGAGAGAGGGATGCGGAGTTCACAGTACACACTCAATAGCCAATGACAAAGGAAAGGCAACTCGCAAAGCTAGGTTTTAGAAAGAAATCTCAATGTGTGTGTTGGCTTTCCCAATTCCTTTCATCTTTTGAGATTGATCCATCTTCTTTTTACTCTTCCTGTTTCACTAGCTAAAGTAAATTTGCTGTTTCAGTCATGAAATTGTCAAAACCTAGTTTCGCAACAAGATGTGATTGGTAACTTGGAGAATACATGATTACATACATTGAGATAGAATTTCTAAAAGATTAGGTATTGATCCGATCATTGATAATTTTACGACATTATTAAATAACGTTGAGCACCACTCTAGTCGTAAGATTTTTCTGATAAAATTTTGTTAGCCCAAGTTTTTGGTGTAGAATATGGGCTCATTTCCCATTTGTATTTCTCTCCATTTGTAATGATGAAGTTGCTTTCATTCATGATTTATTCAATTTACTTTTTTGATATAAAATAGTACATTTACATTGTATCTAATCTATAAGGTTCCAATTTATCCTGTAATCTTTTTTGCGTTGAACACTCCAAAACCTAAGTTCCTGGCTGCATCCTCGGAGAACTTGTGGGCAATACCCAAAGGTTGATTTTTATGACAGTTTTAAGCATCTTGATCACTAAATCTGTAAATTTAGTTTCTCTGCTGACAAACATTTTCTTAGCTTGTTCTTTCTCTCAAATTTCCATGCATTTCATATTGAAACTGAGTTTTATGTTCTGTTGATGAATACTGTTATGGTTTGGCAGCTTATATGCCACATTTGAGCCTCCTTTACGGAGATTTGACAGACGAAGAGAAGAAGAACGCTCAAGAGAAAGCTAACATTCTTGATGAAGGCATTGGCAGCGTGAGATTCAACATACCTCGCCTTGCACTGTATAAAACAGACACCGAAGACAAAACACTTAAATCTTGGGAAATGATTGCTGAGTGCAACCTTGACCCCAAATAAGCTTTGCTGAGTACAATCTGGGGCCTAGTCTGTTACAAAAATGCTATCCTTTGTTCGTTTGCTTGTGTAATAAGTCCTACTTTGTCATAGGTTTTCCTTGCATTTCTGTCTAACTTTAAATTTTATTGAAGGATTTGGCAAGTCTATGAAGCTTTTTTGCTATAGTCATTTGGGTTCCACAAATTGTTGATATCTCCGATTCTTTGCATGTTGATACATGGCTCACACACACACACACACACAAAAGATAGTTTAGTACATCAAGATCCTGTCATTGCAGGGCTGAGGAGTATCAGATGGATGCAGCTTTAACCTGAATGTAGAACTGACTCGAATTCAGGACACCCATGTCATAACTGGGGAGATTTTCAACTAATTGTGGTTTTATTCATAAAAAGCTCATCCTATTCCATCTACATTATTGTCTTAGTGTTGTATTATTTTCTCTATAATGGAATACGTCATTTACCAAGCGATTTTTTGACCCATTTGCACTCATGTAGTTGAACAAAGTAAAATAGAGCCCACAAGATTTTAAGTGGTAGGTAGTCTTATTGTTTTTTTTTTTTTGGAGTATTGATTGGATAAACCTAATACATTAGATGAAGAGAGAAAAAAAGTGCAAATGAGGACTCAATCGTTTAGAAAATCATAAAAAAAAGTTCTTCATGCAAGCGAAATCGTTGAAGTAGAATTGCCAATGGACCTCTCGTTGTGTCTATTTGCTGCAAGTGAAAGAAAAGTAAAATGTCTTGCAAGGAGAGATGTCAGCTATGGAAGACAATGAGTTGCAACAAAGAAAATAGGATTAATGAACGCAATAATTAATCTAGATATAAGTAAGACTAAAGGTTAACAAGGATACGATTAGTCTTAATATTGAAGGAATATGAATAGAAAAAAGCAACCCAACGGGACATAATTCCCTATTATTTTAATGTAGTTATTATGACTAAAAATGATAATGTATGTATTATTTATTTTATAATGGTTATTATAGTCAATTAAAAGTTTTTCACTTTTGTTAATATTTTATAGTAGTACTAGTTATTTCCCGTGCTTGAAAATACGAAATAATAAAAAAAAATAGTCAACAATAAACATATTTATATCCACACCTTAAATTAAATCATAAACATAGATGAAAGATAAATAAATTTAAGCACTGATTTGTAGTGAGGGTGAGCGATGGTAGTGGTCGTAGGCAACAGTGGTGATGGTGAGAGATGATAATGGTTGTGATTGGTGGCAAAGACCGTGATGGTGGTGGCAGTCGTGGGTGGCAACGGTGACGGTGATGGTGGGTTTGGTGTGACGATGATGGTAGTAACAAGAGCAAGTGATGACAATGGTGGTGGTGGGCGGTGACGATGGTAGTGGTGGGTAACAATGAGTGCTTTTCTAGGTGACAGTGTGATGGGTGGTGGGGAATAACGGCGGTAGTAAGTGTGATGGGGGTAGGTGACAATGAGTGACTGCAGTGGTGGGCGATAATGGGTGGTGGTGGTAGGTGTGGGTGACAAGGCTGGTGGCAATAGTGAGTGATGACGGGTGGTGGTGGGTTGTAGTAGTAGGTGGTGATGGATTGTGGTAGTGGGTGATAGTGGACAACAATGGTGGTGAGTTGGTGCTAACAGTGAGCGACGGTGGTAGTGAGACGGTCGTGGTAATAATAATAAATATAACAATAAGATGACGATGGTAGTAGGTGGTGGTGGTAGACGACAATTGTAACAACGGTAATAGGTGGCGATGGTGGGGTAGTGGCGGTGGTGGGGGGGTGGTGGTTGTGTGTTGGCGATGGTGTTGGTAGTTGTGATGGTCGTTGGGGTAGTGGTGGGGTAGTAGTGGTGATGGTGGGACAATGGCGATGGTGCCAAAGTACGACAGCGATGGTGATGGTGGTAAGGTGCGGTAGTGGTGGTGGGGCGATGGTGATAGTGGCAGTGATGTGGGGCGGTGGTGGTAGTGATGATGGTGGTGGTGGGGCGATAGAGGTGGAGGTGGAGGTGGTAGTGGTGGTGATGGTGGTGGTAGTGGTGGTAGGGTGGTGACAGAGGTGGTGATGGTGATGGTGGTGAGGCGATGGGTGGGGTAGGGTGGCGATAATGGTGGTGGCAGCGACGGTGGTGGGGGTGGCGGTGGTAGTGGAGCGGTGGGGGATGGTAGTGGTAGAGGTAGTGATAGAACAATTCTAAATACTATTTTTTTAAAAGTACTAATAAAAAATAATTCTTAAAATCACTTTTAAAAAGTCACTCCAAACACATCCTTAGGAGCCTAAATTTCTTATTAAATTTAGAGTATTAATATTAACTGTCAGATTAATTTTAGAGTAAAATTTAAAGAGATGTCAACCGCGAATAGTAAAAATTATTTTGTTTATCTTTTGAAATTTGAATTGTATTGTACTTTATTATATATATAGATATAAATAGATAAATATAGATACAAATATAGATATAGACATACTAGTGTCATCCCTATGCAATGCACGAAATAGTGTCGTCCCTTTAGTCTTTTTTTTGATATCCACCTTTATTAATTAATAGAAAAGTTTAAAATTAATGAAAAGTTTATAGGCGATAAAAATTAATTTTTTTAAATTAAAAAAAAAATCAAATGAAAGTTGGTTAGTTGGTGAGACAGTGGAAGAATGGCTTAATTTAGTAATAAAAAAATATTAATGCTATTGGGACAAAATTTATGGACATAATTTAAGGACATAATGAGTTATTACCAATAAAATGATAGTGAAATATATTTAATGATGAGTCTCATTGTAGCATTAATGAATTTAATATCATATCATTTGTGACAATTCATTATGTTCTCAAATTATATTCCAATAACATTGCTCATAAAAAAAAATTATTCTAAAAAATTCGTTATATATATACTTGGACTTAAAGTTTCTTGTAAACTCTATTACAACCCCAACCAACCGGCGATAATTATCCGTACGTATGCCTGTAGTGATTGGAGTAACGACTCTAAACTCATTTGAAATCCTATCCCCGCGTGGATGATTATATGGGTGGCCACTTAAAATTTGATACGACACGATTAATTAATACAAATTAAGTAAATTTGAGTGATAAACAAGTTGACACATCAAATATATTTAATAAATGAGATCGTGTTCAGATGAGACTTGTCAAACTGTTTATCACACGTTTACCCTTAAAATAAAATTAATATAATAATAAATTTAATAATTATTTAAAAAAATTAACAAAAAAAAATCAAGAAATCAATAAAAAAAAAGAAGTAAAGTAATAGTTTAAAGACAAAATAGATGAGATGAGGAATACTTAAAAGACAAAGACAAGTCTTATTTGTCTCGCATTGAAAATTGAGAGGAGATGGGAAGGGTTGAGTTGTTAATAAAAAGCAATGACCTCTTACTTTTTTTTTTTTTTTTGCCTTCAAGTCTTATTTGTTCCACGTTGAAAAATGAGGGGAGATGGGGAGGATTGAGTTGCCTATAAAAAATAATGACCTCTTACTTTTATTTTTTAAGTCTTCAAGTCTTATTTGTCCCACATTAAAAAATGAGGAAGATAGGGAGGGTTGAGTTGTCTATAAAAAATAATGACTCTTACTTTTTTTTTTAAGCCTTTAAGTCTTATTTTTTATGAAATTTAATTAAATTTTTTTTTTTTTAAAGTAAGTGCAATTGGCAATTAAAAAAATAGAGTATTAAAATTTGTTAATATAATTTTTTAAAAATTGAACGGGTTAAACTAGTCGTATCGTGTTACCCGTTTATTAAATGAGTCGTGTTCGTGTTGAGATTTTTTACCCTTTTATTAAATATGTTGTGTACGAATTTATATATTTTTTCACCTGTCATCCGTTTAACCTGAACACGTTTGAAAGGATTATATGTTTGGACAAAATCAACATTTTAAGGATTATATGTAGTCGTGTGTAAGATATTTGGTACTCGAAATCCTGTAATTTACTTAATAAACAGCTGGTGGTAAATTCTCTTGTAATTTTTTATGGGGTGAATTTTTTTTTTTTGGTTAAAAAATACAATTATGGTATCAAAAATCATACCGAAAAAAATACTTTTTTAGACCATATCGAGACTTGTCTTAGAATATCTCTAATGTTGATTCAAATACTTACCCAAATTTGGATAAAAATTTAAGTAAAACGTTTAATTTGATATCAATTCTTCCAATAAAAAAAAATCAATTTCATACCTATATTGTCCTAAATGCTATTTTCTTTAATTTTTTTCTCCTCTTCAAGCTTTATCAATTTTTAGAATTCGAGGAATGCCGACAACACCAAAAACTCAAAGCTTCAACAAATTTGAAGCATGTGCCGACTACACCAAAAGACCAAATCTTTCACAATTTGATTTATAAAGACAAAGACCCAAGTGAGAAGTTAAAACTCTTACCCGTCATCTTCTTCAAGTTTGCCTCACTGGCCGATGATGTCGGAAGTTGTGAAGGGATGAAGACAGAAAAGAGAGAATACACTCAGAATTTTGTAAAATATTACTGTTAGAAATTGGGTATGAAATTTGAGTCTTCTTCAATTTAGGTCAAAAAATAAACTCTCCCTTGATTTGGTATACATTTGGGTAAAAAATTGGAGATGGTTTTAGAGTCAATTTTTCTCAAATTTAAATATAAGTGTAACTTTGCGTAGGATAACATAATTTATAGCTATAACAAACAGTTTTTTACATCTTGCCTTATAGCTTGCTGTTCAAAAGTTACTGCCAATCTGCCCCAAGCACCAGTGGATTGCACAACAACTTTATATTCTTCACTCTAGAATCCAAAAATGTACTCTATTGCCTCCAGCAACAAATTATGGAACTCTTGAGCATTGTCTCACTTTCAACCTATCATAGCATTCACTCAAGCTAACTCAAGCAGCAGAAACATACTCTTATGACATGCAGATGGGCTCAGCTCCGCCAATCAAAGAAACCGCGGGCGTCGGGTTAAACCAAGTCCTCACCATCCAACTGTAATAACACAACAAAATAAAAATACCCATAGAGGGTTATAATTAAAATTCAACACAAAGTTGTGCACGTTACAAAGAAACATAAGACAATAGTCATAACTCTCTCCCTATAGGATATTATAATGAAACCTATTTATCAAACTGGGACGACAGAATTGTAATGCTCGCCAAGTCCAAATGCATGCCTATGGTATGATAGCATGACACTGGAATTGGATGAGCCAGTTCTGCTACTATCGGATTTGTATTCCTTTCCCATCTCGACATCAGGGAAGGATCCTGAAAATATGATGATGTGTTTCTTCAGGCAGTGAGTTAAAGCACCGAGCTCTAATTGTCCTCCCCATGCTGCTGTTGACTCCACTTCTCGACAGTAATTCTCAAACCTCTCTGCAAGAGAACCATCAGAGTCTCCATCTGCCATACTCTCAGACAGGAAAAAGGGAACAAAATCAGACGCGTGTTTCCTCATGTAAGCAGCCACCATCTCTCGAAGTTCTTGGTAAGTATATGGAGAAGTACTGCCTGAGATGAGGGCGAGCTGACCCTCAACGGCACGGTAGAGACAGTGCCCATCTGGTTTTATTTCATTCACAGTCAAGCCAAGAGGTTCTAGCTTTCTTTCCAACTTTTCGCTCTCAATCATTCGATCACTTGTAATTTTGCTCTGCTCTTCTTGTATTCTTTGCTCTCTGGCTGCTTCTTCTTGTGCTCTTTTCTCACGTCGCTTGACACTCTTACTGGGCTTTGATTGGTCCGGTTGACCAGTGACAGAAACCCCAGCTATGGCCCTCACCAAACTGTCTAGATTGCCTCTCTCCTCCTTCTTAGTACTGTTATACCCTAAAGAAGCTAGTTCCTCTGCATGGTTTTCCTTAAGCTTTGCAGAAAGTTGTGATATCTCTTCCTCCACTTGTTTTTTCTTAGCTTTCTGTTCAGCCTTGCTGCCTTTAGCTGCTGTCTTCTTAAGTGCAACTTCCTTGTTTTGCAGCTGGGCAATCTCTTTCCTGCAATGCATTAAATCAAATATAACAAGAGTATAAATGAAAGTTTGAAACAAAAACCAACCATTCTGATGCCAATCATGTAGGCTAATAGATATTGTTTTGATAATCAATGCAAAATTTTCCTTCAGAGTTCAGCTACTTGATCAATTATACATGGTAGTGATCAATTAACGTATGAAAACAATGCCTGCATAAAAATAGAATGACCATAACAATTACTGCTACCCAGGAAAAGAATGCTTCACGCATGATATAATCATATACTCAAGTCAACAAAGCTTTTATCCCAACTATTTGGCAGCGGCTATGATAAAATCATATCTAATTACGAAAAAACGATAGGATCCTCATACCAAAAGTTCAAGACAGCAATAGAGAGAGAGAGAGAGACAGGGAGAGAGAGAGAGAGAAAGGGGATGGCTAAATTAAAATTTCTGACATTCGTTTTGTTTAGAATCTGTTCTACCTTGCGCATGACACAAAAGGTGTCCCCCTAATGTTTTTGACATATCAAATCCAATTTTTTTTTCAACGCAATAACTGATTTACGTAAGTGCACTTCAGAACATGGTATAAAATTGGACCCATACCTCACTTGGTTATTATGTTTACAGCAACCCCAGAAAGGAATGCTGCAATAAACATGAAGTGACTCAAACAGGCATGGAATAGCTAGACACGCAAATGAGCAGGATTTTGGGGGGGGGGGGGGGGGGCGCCATGCCCCTAAGGGGCTGGGTCAAAAAGATATTATGTTCTCTCATGTGTTCAAATGAGTTTCCATAAACAACAAATGGTTTTGCACAAGATCAATTTCAGAGGTACCTGACAACCCCATATATCTGCTTCCAACGCCCCATATTCCAACTTTCACATCATCATCGGGGATTTACCCCTCACCTTTGGCTCTCCAAAATTTAAATAGTCCTCATGTCAAAATTTTCAATCCATTTTTGGTATTCCTTTATCTATCCAATTGTTCATGATCTAAAAGTGCTCAGGAGTCCTGTCGCATTCAAATTGTTTTAACTAGTTTCTTAGGTTTCCGGTACAAAAGAATATATGGTTTCTTCATGAGTTTCAGATCAATGCTCTGCAATTCTCAACCTCTTCGAGCCCCCAAAGACCTCAATCCACTGAGCAATTTTCTCAACCCCGCAATTTATTTTTATTTTTTTCATTTATTTTTCTTTGTCTGGTGTTTTTCTACTTGTGTGTCCCAGGGGTGTAGGTGGGGTGTGTTAGGTTTTGTCTCATGGGTTAGGCTCAAGGCCACTCCCGTCCTAAACCAGCCACATTCAAGGGATCCTTAGCCACT